TCTCTTATTATGAGTGTTCCTTCCCAATTAGGATATATTCGCATCAATCAAAGAGCTACATTTCTCTTCTCACTCTGAGTAAAGAGATTTTTGCAATGTCCATATATTTCGCAGAGGTACAATGTGTTTCTTTAACAATTCTTTTTCACCAACATTTTCTTCACGACCACACACATCGCTGCATATCCTCGACATCTCTTGTAGAAACCAACCAAAATGTAGATATTGCACCAATCTGTGTTTATGATCTTGATTCATTTTTCCGTGATGATGGTGAAACCCAACAATCCCTACTTCTAAGGCATTGACGGTGAACATATTGTTCAAGATTATAATGAAACACTTGTTTGAGTACCATTTTTCGATATTCAACATCATATTCCTTTCGTCATGCATGATCTTGACAAAATGTTCTATAACCAAGACATTTTTGCCCAACAAGATCTATATCTTAATTTTTTTTGGAATATGATTTCCGTATGAATATCTTTTTGCATTCTTGTTACTTCCAATCTTATCTAACCTTACTTTTTCTTGACTACTTTGGTCATCCAAGTACTTTTGTTCAATAAACTCACACTTATCTTAAGTTGCGGTATTGAGCAAAATTGTGCCAACCTACGAAACCTTATGAAAAAGAAGCCCTTCGATGCTCATTGATGAGTATTCGATTGTACTTCACGGGAAACCACACAAGCAGCTTGTGATAGCTTCATTTTATTTACTTCTTTTTATAGTTTATTTTAGTACATTTCATTCGCATTTTAGTTAACTTCCATGCATATTTTCCCTTTTTGTTATTTTTATGACCATTTCGGGGTACTTTCTAGTTTCTTAAGCATTATTGCAGATTTTCTTGGAAACTAGCAGGGCGGCACTCTTCGGAGGCGATTGGGCTTGAAAGGAATTGGAGATTTCGTGCTTGATGGCTATGAAGGTGATTCATGGGGTGGACTTGTCAATTGCTTGAAGGCTTGGAAGAATTGAGCTTCAAATTTGAAAGATACGGGAGAATTCTTGAGTATGCAAGATCAATATTTGGGAGTTTGCGGAAGTTTTGAATGATGTGGATAGACAAATTGGGCTCAAATTGAAGAACTATTGAAGAAAAATGGGCTAGAAGCTGATTGGACTCGAACTGGGCCAAGGGATTAGCTATGGGGGCCCAAAACTTGAAAAAGCCCAAAAATGCCGTCAGTACCCGCGGCCCGCGTAAGATTCCCCGCGGCCCGCGTGGATTCCTGACAAGGGGAATCTCGGGATTTTGCTTAGAGCTCTATATTAGGAAGGTTGGTGTGCCTCTTTAGCATTATCTTGGAGGTCCTATTTTGAGACTTTCTCTATGGAGTTTGGAGCACTTTTGGAGGCTAAGAACACTTGAAGAACATCTTCTTTTCTCCTCTTGAATCTTGTCAAATGTTTGGTACAATCTTATCTAACTTTGTTCAGTTGAGTTTAGTCATGCTTGGCTAAACAAATCTTGGTTGACTTTTTGTTGAGTCCTTTGAACTTTTGTTGGATGTTGAAGAATCTATGAACTTGTTCTTAAATATTTATGGAAATGTTTTGTGTTTCATCATATTATCACTACTAGTATGTTTTTATTCATGAGTTTAAATATGTTTGTGGTGATTAGTTGGCTAATTTTTTGATTAAGTAAATGATCCTCAAATTAGCAAGCAACAAGTGATTTTTGTGTTGTTTTTGCTTCACACAATCATCAAAAACATTTCCTCCAACATGGTAGTGAAAGCAATTGACTCCTCTTGGATTTGGTGACTTTTTGGTTCTTAATGCTAGTTGACTTTCATTAATTACATGCTATTTGGAATTAGTGACTTTGACTAAGGAAATTGTAATGAGCTTCTCTAGCCATTTCAACAATTAAGAAAAGTCTAGGTAATCTCAAGCTCCTTGGATTACTATAACCAAATTAAGGATTTAAATCAAAGTATTGCACTATTGGATTCTAATGATATGTTCATCAAAAGTCAAAGTGAGGAAACTTTAAGTCAACCATCTCTCCCTTATTGATTTTACATCAAATTCTTATTTTTGTTGCAATTGTCTATTTAAATCATAGTTAATTCTAGTTTGTTTCAAGTATTTCAAAACACCAAAAACCCCCAATTTATTTTTATTGTTATTTTACAAGTATCTTTACAAAGAGATTTTTCATAGAGTTATAAATTGAACCAATCTCCGTGGATTCGATCTCTTTACCACTATACACTATTTTAGTGTGTAATAATTAGGGTTATTATTTGTGTTGGCCTCGACAACCACCAGTTTGCCATCTCTCTTGATGTCGAATGAAGAGATCTTTGCCTAGGATCTAACTGCTTTCATATCAAATGTTATTTGATATCACTCATCTCACATTTATTTTACATTTGATTCCCATTTATTCTTTAGCACACATTTGCACTGGGATCTTTCAGGTTTTGGGTATTACCAATTCAAAACCTAGATTTCGCAAAGTCTGGCATATGATTTCTCTTTACAATCCCAAAAGTGAATGAGCCTAACCTCAATGTGAAGGCCTGTTGTACTTGATCTACAATGCGAAACTTATGACAGTTCTTATCCTATTGGGGACAAAGAGAAGTTTAGCGGATGTAACAATTCAGTATCTCACGGGATTTTAGGAACTCGTGATAATCACTTTTTCTGACGTAGCGACTTTTATAGTAATCGGCCCCATAACCAATGCAACACGTGGCAGAATCTGATTGGTTACCGGTTCAAATTCAAATTGTTCGTCGGCTATAAAAGGACATTGGTGGTATTATTTGAAGACTTTATGCTCTCTTATCATATTTTCCCTATATTTCTCCAAAGCTTATTGTCTTCAAACAATTTCTACAAACCCTAACAATGGCGACTCATACTGCTAATGTTGATCCTTCCAACACCACAAATGAAGAAGAGACTTCTCAGCCGTTGTTAAAGATTCAGAGTTCGAATCTTCATCTTCTACCCGATGTTAGTCAATATCCTGAGCAGTTGAAGATGTTGATTTTAGCCCTAAATCACTCTATTCTATCAACTATCTTATTTTTATCATGTGTTGTTCCAATGATCTGGTTATCACTTGCGGGTTCAACGACGGTTTTCAACAAAACAACGAAGATCATAACTTTCCAACTGATGAACAATAAATTACAAAAGCTCACCAAGTGACAGTTTGCTCAGATTATGAAGTTACCATACTCAGGTCCTTTCTATGAAGTTACAAATGAACAGGTTCTTTTTATGTTTAACGATATTGGTCATCAATCACCTCTTACTGGGATAAGTCAATTTCACAAATCTTGTCTTCCCTATGTGTGGAGTTTTCTCTTTGGTATTATACTACGATGCTTGACAGGCTATAGTCCAGGGTTAGACAGAGTGAAGTTGGAGGTCTATGCTATGCTTGCTGGTATTTATTATGATTTAAAAGTTGATTATGTTACTCAACTTTGGGAAGAGTTTGGTACAACAATCACACACACCAATATAGTGAATGGTGTTTCATGTGCAAGATACTAGAGTTTAATTCTCAGGGATGTGTATGAAAAGGAAGGGATTTTGGTTCCCTCAGAAGATGAGAAGGTGGAGTTTGCAACTTTGCAGGTTCCTAAAGTGGTTATTGATGATGCAGTTCTTTTTCCTATTGTGGCTCGCATTCCAGACACGATGTTAAGACAAATTGATCATGCAAACCCAATTTTGGTTCAATATTTGGCATCTATCAACACCAATGTCACAGTTGGATTTCTTTTGCAAAAGGGGGTTGAGGTTTCATCAAAAGCACCAAAGAAAAAGAAGAAGACTGAACAACCAAAACCTATTAAAGAGCATATAAAGAAAGAAGTTTCAAAACCTGTTCAAGAGAATGTGGAGAAGGAAGTTTCTAAGGAAGTCATTCCTTCGAAGACAGGCATATCAAACACATAAAGAAGCCATCTAAAAGGCCTCAACATTCTCCTGTTAGGCTATTTGTTCCAGAAGTTGAAGTTGAAACCCCTACCAAATCGCAGCACACTCATTCTTCTTCTAAGAGGGTAAACAAAATTCGCAAACCTCAACTTAATAGAAGAGGTGTACTTGTTCGCGAAATTTCTGCTCCTGTTTCACCAACTTCCAAGAAACGTCAAGCTCATGAGATGGTTAAAAAGCTTAAGAAGAAATAGAGAGAACTTGAAGACCTGCTTGATAAAGTCGTTGTCGAATCAGAGTATGGTAGTGATACCGAATGCTCTGATATTTGCATAGATGATACTGGTTTTGGGTCGCCTCAAAGGGATTCTCCAGTTCAGTCGATTTTCGAGGAGAGTGGAAGTCTTGGTGTCAATGTACACGTATCTAATACGGATACAAACACCAATTTGAGTGATCCTACATCTACTTCCATCCACGCGAAGACAATAGTCATACCACCCGAGGTTTCGCAAACCGAGTTCTACACGGAGGAAGTTCGCTCAGGCATCCTTGTGCGCGTATTTGATACGAGCACAAATGTCACCATGTGTGAAGGGGTGATGAACAATGAAGGCTTTGGTACTTCACATCCTGAAACATCAATAGTTCCTACATCGATCATTCTTTCTTCTACCATCAAAACCACAATTATTGATACTTCAACTTCATTACCACCATTCTCTTCTCCTATCCCATCATCACTTCCTATCTCAACTATCTTACTAACATTTTCCACAATCATGCATGAACCAATCACTACTCTTTTCTCTTCTCAATCCACATAAGTAGAAAAGATAGTTCAAGACGACGAACCCAATGACGATGATATAATAGTTTCTTTTGCTGACTTGGAATTTGATCCTGAGGCGGATAATGTTCCTGACAACATGCTCATGGCAGGTAAACACTTCAAGATCCTCAACAACAAACTAAAGTCTTTGTTACAGATATAGGAAGACACTAGGGGTTGAAATTATGTGTCTGGGGTTGAAGTGGAGTATTTGTTAAAGTCATAAGAGAGTCCTCTAAGGAGTATGATGGAAAACGTTGAAAAGCAACAAGCTGAATGGTTGAAAATTCATGCTGAAAATTTTGAATATGAGATTAAAAAGCTTCGCGCTGTTGCGAAAGAACGCCATGAAATTTTTGTTGACCAAGTGAAAACGATAAAGAGTCTATTGATCTTAAGATGAATGATCTTAAAGACGTGATGGCAAAATAATTTGAGAAGTTAGAGAAAAGTCATTATGTTCCTCATGGCAAAGTTGATATAGTTGCTGATGCAATTTCCAAGTTAGTTAAGTACAATTATGTTTATTCAACTAAGTTTGATGCGAAGACATAATCAAATTCTAAAGTCTTTGAAAAATTGGAGGAATTGTTAAGCAGCATCAAGGAATCAGTTTTGCAAGCATCTCTTTCAAACCAATCATCTGTTTCCCAAGAAGCAAGCACTCATATGATTTCGTCTATTGAAGCAAATCTCAAAAAGGAACTGGCTCCCATCCTTGAGTTGGTTCTTATTTTACTAACAAATGCTCCACCAGCGAAGCAAGTGCCACAAGGGGGAGAAAAAGGATGCAGAGGAGTTGGATCTTCAAAAGTTGTTGATAAGGGTGCAGTTGTTGGGAAGGTTATTTCTACACAAATATCCACTTCACTTCCAGTTTCTTTGATAACAACTTTTACAACTACAACAACAAGACCTATATTAAAAGGGATTGTTATTGGCGAAAGTGTTGGAGGTTTGGTATCAAGTTCTAAACCACCTCCTTCAAAAGAAAGTCAAGGGGATAAAGGGAAAGGTGTTAAGATAACTTTGTCTGAAGAAGAAAAGAAGAAGAAATTAAAGATGGAGATCGAAAGACAAACACAGATCAATAGTATTTTGAGGCAAAGACAGAATGATCCTCCAGGCTTGCACAAGGGAGATCCTAATAAGCTCTAGTGCTATGAAACTATTGAGCAAGTTGTGTAAATAGGGGAAATGGAATATTTTCACAAGGTTCCAAAGAAGAGTTATGATTTTGAAAACTCTGACTTCAACCAACTCAATTTCCCTATAAATCAATGACATACGTCTCTTCTTAGTACAAATTGGTTGATCGGTTCATCGACAAAGAAGAATATAAACGACTGAAAATGAAATTTCATGCAGTATTGGTCAAAAGCAAAGAGGAGATTTGGTCTTCTATGAAGATCATCAAAGTGATGTCAATCTCTCGAGAAAACTTGTTTGAAGGAATTCTTCAAAATTTTCTCTATGTTGTAGTAAGGTCAAACAATGTAGTATGTGAGTTTTCAGTTGCCGAATTCCCATTGATGAACTTGAGCGACTTGGTCACAGATGTCGATTCTAAGCAATGTGGATGTAACGAAACTACCTGAGAATAGTAAGGATGATTTTCTCATCGGCTTTGCTCATATCAAAGTATTCATTGATAGTTACTATGATTGCCTCGCAATCACTAATATCGAGCTTGTCATGGCCATCAACAAGGCATCGAAAGTTCCCCAATCATTGCTTAAGGGGAAGATTAATATTGACAAATATGAAGATGGAGAAATTGTTCATTAGCTTCTGGGGGTAGTGTTTCGTGGCAAGAACAAGAATCAGAAGATGAAAAGGTTTTTGTTCCGAGTGGATGATGTTGAGAGGTACACGAATGTCCAATATACAAGCCTTCTAGTTCGAATCAATAATTGCAAGAAAAATGATGTTGTAGACAAGGCTGGAATTCGCAAGACTATTCTTTGGTATATGGAAATTCACAGGGTACTTCTCCAGACCATGAAGCTGATGACGTGATTTCGACACTCTTGTTCCAAATGTATGTATTTTGCAAAGCATTTTTATGTTGGTGTCTAACGTCTAGTCCTTGCATACTTTTTGAGCGTCTGTACTACTCTATAAATAGAGTTAGTATAGAAGTAGAGAGAAGCTTTTTGGCACTTTTGTTCTTATTCTCTCTCTTGAATTTTTGTACTCATTCAAACACATCAAGGAGCCAAACATATATTATTTACAATCGTGTTCTTAATGTTTTCTGTTCTTGATTTTGTTTTCTAAACTCGATTCGAACACACACCTCTTGGCTAACCCTTAGCTTTGGAAGGTAAACTAAAGTTTTACCTTGTACGCTTATCTAGGTGTGGTGTAGCACTTGTCTTGTTAGCAGTATAGCAGCAACAGTTGATCATCATTGTTGGGTGAGTTCCTTTACTATACTCGTGGGTCGAAGGCACCAATGCCAACCCACTGGATTACTTTTGTAGGATGATAAATGTTTTTGTGACACTTATTGTTATGCATATATGTGCTTGTTGTCTTTGTGACTTTTGTTGATACGACTGTCCATTTGAAAGTGTCCAAAAGAGTCAAAATATACCCAGTACGGGTTGAAAGAGACCGAAATGAGTGAAATAGACCTAGTATCAGTTGAAAGAGATCGAATGGGGGTGCAATAGACTCAATTATGTTTTGACTGTTATGTATGTATAATATGGGGTATTTTGGAGAAACTCAGCTTTATATATATATATATATATATATATATATATATATATATATATATATATATATATATATATATATATTCCCTTCATAAACCCTACTTTCAATATTGAATGGGAAATAGTAAAACAAAAAAAATGGTTACTTTTGAAGAGTCTTTTGCTAATGTTGGCAACTGAAAAGCAAGCTACATGAGACTTTAATTATGAACTATAATCCATAACCTCCCTTAGGTTTGCATATAAATCCTTTATATTTAAACATCATTCCTTCATTCATATTCCTTAAAACCAAACCCCACCTCAATAATTCAACTTCCAATTTCCAAAACCAAAAAAAAAAAAGGTTGAACCTTATTTTTCACAACAAGACTAGTTTTATCATTTAACAAAGTAGGATCGAGATTTCCATTTCCTAGAGACGAGCCCTTGAACTTGCTGACAACGGAGCACTCTGCAAAAGCAACAAACACATAAACATCTCAATTTTATACATTATAATAAAAAATTGTTTGGTGTTGTTTCTCACCAGTGGGACCCCGTTATTGGCTCTTTCTTCAAGAAATTTCGAAGGCTTATAAAAGTGGCTGTATTTCTCAGACCATTTCTTGAGACTTGCGTATATATGCTTCGCCCCAACTAAATCTCCCCAAAACACAATCCCACCACTGCAATCAACAAACATTAATCAAATCAACAACTGGTTCATGTTTGAAGTTTTGATGAAAATAATGATGATTAGGATACTAACCGATAAGATGGAAAACTCATCCCAAGAACAGATGCAACATCAAGATCAGATGCTCGAACCACAACTCCTTCCTCAAGAACACGACACGCCTCATTCACCACAGGGAACAATATCATCTCCACTATTTCCTTATCCGTTACATTTATTGCCTGATTTCCCAATTTCCATTTCTCAATTTTCAATTTTCAATTTTCAATTAAAAAAAAAAAAAACACACTACCTTTCCCGAGGGCATGATGTTGACTAGTCTTTTAGCTTCTTCTATGATCTGAAACACCTGTGGATCGGGTTTTGGCTTGCTACCCTTCTCATAAAGGTAATACCCTTTTCCGTTATTTTTACCTAATGATAATAAATACATATAGCATCGTCTCTTGTTAAATTAAAGAATAAAAAACGATTGGAAAAATAAAATTACCAAATTACCAAATTAGTTAATTACCATTTCGTCCGCTTTTAATTAGAAGATCAATTATCGGTGAGCGGAATGTACGATCAGGAAAAGCGTTTGCGAACTCTTTACCTACCGCAACTGCGACACCATATCCCGCTAAATCCTGAAGCCTAAAATCACAAAATTAATTAATTATCACATAACACGTTTTTCGATTTTTTTTTTTTTTTTTTTTTTTTTTTTTTTGAAAATCGAACTTACTGGAAGGGTCCCATGGGGAGTCCAAAGCTAGTGATCAATCTGTCAATTCTAAACAAATCGACACCCAAATGAAGCAAAACATGCGCACCCTGTGTGTATGGAAAAAACGTCCGATTCACAGCAAAACCTGTACAATTCCCCACAACAACAGGAGCTTTTTTTATGACTTTTCCAACTGCCATTAGGTCAAGAATCACTTGTGCTGATGTCTTTTCTGTTCTAACTATCTCCAGTAGCGGCATCACATGAGCTGGACTGTAATCATTTCATTTAATAAAATAAATAAAAAAAAGAAATTATTAGATGTGGATTATTTTGTTTAACCTGAAGAAATGCGCCCCAATAACTCGATCTTGAGATTTGATTTTTTCTCCGATTAAATTGAGGTCAATGGTGGATGTGTTGGTTGCTAAAATGCAATGAGGAGGACAAATGTTTTCAATTTCACTGAAGATTTTTTGCTTCAATGGAATGTTCTCAATTACAGCCTGCATTCAGAAACAGAGTTATCAAATTATGTCTTGTATAATGTTCACATTTTATGTTTTTTGAAAGATCATACCTCTATAACCATATCTACATCTTTAAACTGTGAGTAATCCAATACCCCATTAACCAAAGACAAAGCCTTTTCACCTTGAGCTTGTGGTAGCTTCTTCCTTGCAACCAATCCTTTAACATTTGCTGAAAAAGTCATCAAATATTATAATAACCAATAAGTCACATAATAAATAAAATGGCTACAAAATATAAGAGATAACTAACTAGTAACTACCTTGTATTGTGTTTATTCCTTTTTGAAGATACTGAGAGTTGACTTCCTTGAGAACAACTTTTATATTACCAAGGATAAGGGCAGTTGCTATTCCAGACCCCATTAAACCTCCACCAATCACAGCAACTTTCTTCACACTTCTTGGCTTTAGACCAACATCAGTGACTTTAGGTACCTGTAAATATAAAATTATAGAAAACCAAGTTTAGATTTTGTAGAATTTTAGATATTTCAGAAAACAAAAATAAGAGAAAAAGGTTTAAATTACCTTTGAGATTGCACGTTGTGCAAAGAATATATGAACAAGACCTTTCGATGTGTCTGAAACAACAAGCTCATTGAATTCCTTCACCTCCTGAGTAATTGATAGACAAGTTAATTACAAAAATGGTCCCTGTGATTTCTGATTTAACCGTGTTTAGTCCAAAAATGAAATCTTTCTTCAATTTTGGTCCTTATTTCAGGGGACCAAAACCTTGAAAAAAGAATCAACGTTGAAAAGGGTTTCAAGTTTTGACTATACAAGGTAATTTTTTAATCAGAAAGTACAAGGACCATTTTTGTAATTTACTCTAAGATAAAAAATAAGGGTATATAAGTAACAACTAGTATCAAATCATTTATCAGTTACACAAAAAAGAAGTAATAAAAATACCTTTAAAACGCCTGCATACCCTCCATGAACAATACCTTCCTCAATCACATCAAGGCAAGCTTGATGTTGGGGCAAATTGGGAAATGTACGTTTGACATGTTGTCTAGCAGCTTTAATAATCTCACGTGCTTCTGAAAGGGACCCGATTTTGTCTGTACGATGAAGAGATCGGGCCCATGGTTTGCGGGCCTCAGCAATGTCTAAAGCCCATTTCTTAGCCACTTTCAACAATTCTTGAGGAGGGACAATAGCATCAATTAGACCTAACTTTTCCCCTTCCTCAGAGAGTATTGGTTTAGATGTCTACAAACAAGACTCATAAATTAATATCACCAATTTGTTTAAATATTCATAATCAGTAAAATACTAAATACTAAATAGTATTCAAGGAGACAGGAGAGATGTGCTTACCAACATCATATCAATTGCCTTTGATAATCCCAAAAGCCTAGGAAGTCTTTGAGTACCTGGAAAACCATATTTTTCCATTATTTAGTGAAATCCCGTTTGTATAATCATATTAACTAAAGTGTTGTGTTGTTATTTACCATCGTTTCTAAACAGAAAGGGTAAAATGGTCATTTAATCAGGTTCGGATA